GGTTCCCAGGGTGACGTGGGGAGTTTTTAGTTGCGAAAATGAGGTTTTGGCCATCTGGGTCCCCTGGGTCTCCAAAGCTTGCGGGGTACTCCGGGTCCCCTGGTTGTCCTCTGCTGTCGTGGTTTTGTCTTGCGCTAGAAACACGGAACCACCACCACCCTTGATCGTTTGAGCGGAGCTGGCTGGCTCTAAACAAGCGAGCATGTCCGTTGCCGAAGATGTTGTCATGGTCGAAGCACACTCGCCGCCCTCAGTATCCCACTCAATCTGACTGCAAATGTGGCGAAGACTTTCAAACACTATCTCCGTGATAGTATCGTGCGAGACGCCTTGGCACTTCTGTTGGACTAACTCGGGGAGTTTGTTCTTCAGTTGGACAGCCAAGAGTTCGGCAGGGTTTGTGACTTGCTCTGTTAATCGCAAACGCAATGCCCGACTGGCCAGATGATCCGCCGAGCCATTCCAAACCCGTAACACATGATGGAGCTCGGAGTCTTCAAGGCGTTTGATCCACCCTTGGGCTTCGCGACACAACTCTTGAAGGTGTGGTTGTTTACATTGCATCCAACGGTTCACTTGGTGGACCACGATTTTGGAATCGCCGAAGATGCGAAGTCGGGTTAGCTTTAAGCGGGAGGCTGTCATGAGAACTTCCAGTAGACCTTGGTACTCGGCAGTGTTGACTGTGGCATCCGTAACAACTCCTTGGGCGGCCCAGACCAGATCCCAGTTGGGTAACTTCCAAATACTTGCTCCATAGCTGCCGACTCGTTCAATCCGTTTGATGGCTCCGTCAAAAGTGGCCACGTAGAGTTCGTCCTTTTGGCCCCAAACATTGGAAGTGGGGTGACGCAAGCCTCCACCACATCCCTCGCGCGATTTGGCATGAAGGGGTCCAGCGACAGTCCCATGTTCGCCAGCTCTCCCAGGGGCGGTTGGGACAGTGATGGCCACGGGTTTGAGCTGGGGCGGACACTTCGCTCGACATGCTCTCTGTCAAGAGAGCAGGCATGTGCCAATGGCCATCTGCAGACTTGATTTGTACGAACGTGATGCTCCAAGGTGCCAATTGAACCGCCCAATGAAGGTATTCAGTTCGATTTTGTTTGTCCGTGAAGATCCATTTCGCCGCAGAGTACTGGGTGTACACTATGAGTGGTTTGCCCGCGAGCTCGTAGTAGCAGACTTTGAGGGCTCGGAGCAATGCAACGATTTCTTTCGCCCACTTCGCCATTCGTGGTTCACCACCCTTGAAAATTCTTCCGCAAAACTGACTGGGTGCAGAATACCGCCATGTTCTTGGCACAGCGTTGTCGAAATTGCCCAGTCCGTGACGTACAGCAGGAGGCGGAAGGCCTTGGACGGGTCAGCGTGTCGTAGGATTGGCATGGATGAGTATACATGCTTCAGCCCCTCAAAGGCAATTTCGCAGTCTCCGACACTTGCCCGGCAGCACCGGACTTTTAATCCGATGGTCTTGGGTTCGAATCCCAACACCGAATTCTTCGTCGGAGATTTCGTACAAACACGCCGCCTTGATCGAGTAGTTTTCGATAAATCGAGAGTAGAAATTCAACAAACCCGTGAACGATTGCATATCACGCAATATTTTGGGGAAGGGCATGTCCAAGACTTGTTGTAGTCCACGTGGTTTTGCTGAAACCCCTCGACTGGATATGATGTGACCTAGGAACTCAGTAAAGCTCTTCCCGAACGTGCTCTTCTTGGCGCTAAGGCTGATGTTAAGTAGGTTAGGTGCGTGAGGATGCGGTTAGTGAGTTCCACAATGCAATCCCAAGTTAGTGCACCATCCCCGATGTCGTCAGCAAAAGAGGTTCGGTTGGCGATGGGCAGGTTGGCTTTGTCTTCGTAGGTATGATTCAATTTGAACATGCCCCGCGGCTCTCCATCTTCATTAAAATCACTCAGACCAGGCGGCATGTCCACGAATCCATTCAGGGCGTTCGTGATCATCCTCGGGAAAATCATCGGGGCGTTCTTGAGACCTTGGGCCATTCTTGTCCATTGAAAATGTCCTAGAGGGCAGATGAACGCACTGACTAGTCGGGCACGTAAGCTGGCCAACACCACCCAAAATCCACTGGCATTGTCCAAGGAGAGGAACCACTGTAGCCCATCGAAACCCGCCAACATCGAATCCAAGGTGGGCATTGGGGACAGCATCAACTCCGTCAAATCATTGATGGCACGATAGTCAATACACAGTCGAATGTCGTTGCCACCCTTCTTAGGTACAATCACAATCGGGGAGGCCCAGGGCGAATTTGAGAACTCGATCAACCCATGTTTCATCAGGCCCTTCAGGAGGTCGAATAATTTGGGCATGTACTCTGGTCGGACCCGGCGCGCACGCCCCGCAATAGGTTTCGCATTCCCGACATCGATGTCACACACAGTGCCACGGGCGGCGGGGGGGAGACCATTTCCTGAGCTGATGAAGAAGGGGGCTTTGTCTTTGAGGATGTTGATCATCTGACTTCGTTGCTCATCTGAGATACTCAATTCTCCAATGTCAAGCTGCGTGATGTCGAATGGTTCATTGTCCTCCACGATCTCCGGTATCATGGACAGTTGTGAGGACATTTCTTCTGTGGACACATGTCCACCCCCTCGTGCACCACGACTTCGGGGGCCAGGCTCGATTGATCGATAGTATCGGGGGAGGTGGACAGCGAGAAGATTGAAGGGCAGCACAGGCTCAAATGTACATCGCACTGGTGGTAAGCGAAGACGATGGGCTGTAGCGTTCGATCCTTGTCCTCTTCAATGTGGTCCGCGTGCCCTGGGTACTCTGGATGCCCTGGTATGTTTGAAACGTCTGGGGTATCTGAGCCCGTTGCCGTGTGCGATGTTGGCTCCTGGTTGTTTGCACGCTCGTTACTCGGCCAGAATGGTTGCTTTTCTGTGGCTGGTTGCCTGGCTGGTGTTGAATCCGAAGGGCTGTGTCGTGCAGCTCGTTCGACACCCCTTGGTGTCCCAGGTGACCCGGGTATCCCAGGGGTTCAGGGGTTCCCTGGGTTCTCTAGTTCTTCGTGACGGGTCGGCACAGCGTTCAACGATCGCGGGGGGCCATTATCAGTTGCACTACCCTCACCATACAGTCCACACAACGCTTTGCCCCTGATGACACCATCTTTTCGACTACGCAACAAGTGCCTCCTACTTCGGATCTCGAGGACTCGGATTCCGATGATTCTACTTTCATTCCTCAAGCGTTTACCCTTTTGGACTGCTCGCCGCTTGTTGAGCGTGATACAAGACCTCCTTCCCACGACCTGGGCCTTGATGAACGTACGCCAGTACCGGCCACCTCTTGGTGGACAAAGTTCTCGACGGCACAATCTATCGCATCGGCGTTTGCGGCGATATCGTCCATCCTTTTGCCACACACAACCCTCCCCAGAACCGATAGGAAGCAAGGACAAGGTACCCAGGGCGCTCACCCGCTCACCATATTTGCGATGATCCGATCCCTGTGGATGTGACCAACTGTTTAGCTTTGGCTGCGCAGTCTGGCCAGGGTGGTGGTTGTGCACAAAGCAAGAGTGAGGACTTTCCACCGTCGGTGACCGCTGAGCTGATCCCCGCCGAAGAACCAGGGGGCCCAGGGAACCCCGGGACCCTTGGGATATCAAGGAGTAACGAACGAGCTGCGCGACGGAGCCAGAGTGGTGATTGTCCATAGTAAATACGGGCTCAACCTGCCCAGCCTCCCCTGGATGCCCCGGGTGTACGGGCTAGGCAGTCAGCCGGGTTGGGTGGGTTGGGTGGTAATGCTGAGGTTGCCTGCATGTCTCGTTTATTCACATCTTCTGCATCCGAGTCGGCTTCGGTTATCGATGGAAGCGGAGCTGAGCCTTCTTGATTTCCCCTTCGTAGGATGCGAGTGGGTCTCGGATATGAAGGATGCATGACAGGGGGGGGTTCGTACGCTTGGTTG